CGACATTTCCTGACTCGCTAATCTGAAGACCTTTGCATGATTTCTCCGTGTGCATACAGGCGCGTCCAAATAGTCGCCTATGCCAAAGGGACACTTGATCACATCATCCCTCTGCATATATATAGCAGAGGCCAGTATAAACGATAAACTAATCGAACATCGCTCACACTTGCTCCACAATCACATAAAAGTAGCTGCCACCGAGGTCTCAGTCTCTTTTGGGTCTGAATTAACGTCAGTCCTTTGACCTACAACTTGGGCTTCCGTCTGCCAATTATAGTGCGCTAAGCACACTTAGTATTTGAAAGTGTTATGCTCCTAAAACTCTGTCTAAAGAAATATTGTCCCGAATAGAAACAAATATGCTTACTCCAGGTTCTTGTGGTAAAGAAGAGGAAGATGCGGTGTTTAGAGCGATAGTTTTTTTCTGAGCTTTCGGCTCCACACGAGAAGTAATCGTCAGAGTAAATGAGAAAACAGCAAGCGTTAGCTTCGCGTAAATGATGTTTGTAGAGGGGGAGGGGGCGGCAATTATTGATTTGTCCCTGTCCATGCAACGTCCATTCTCACGCTATCGTGTCGTATCTCCTACGCGCGTCGCTCGAGTAACGGCATGTGACCTTGACGTGATAGCCTGCATGTTTGTAGAGGAACTAGGCTCTGGTTTCTGGTAGTGGGCATAAATAGCAAAATACCAGGGCAGTATATCCACATGCGTGTTACGGAGTTAGGATCTGACACCCAGGCCTCCAGCAGTTCGCGTCCCGTCTTATAACTGGCTCGTATTATTATTATCCGTGTTTTCGAGCTGTCGAATTTGTGGCCCTCTTCCAGAGTGCGCGTAGCGATCTGGGACTGTGGGTCGCCTTTCCGCACTGCCCGCATGTGCTCCGTTATTTGCAAGCTAAGTCGTCGCCCGATCTGCCCTGTATAATGGCAAAAACAGTCGCGACATAGCTTGACATGGAGTTTGAGTAAGAAGACAGTAGTCCCGCGTTAGTTCGTGTTGTCCACTCTAGGCAGCATTGGTCAATAGTGTGCGACAGCAGTAGTAGTGTTTTGCCTCCACTCTCCGGCTCGGACGGCGACTGAGGTCTGGGAGTAAGAAGTGAGGTTGACGATTCAGCGCATTCTTGTCATTATTAACCATCTGACGTGCTTGCACTTATCAAACCGTGCTTCAAGCCATGGCTTGGAGGGTTGCCAACTGACGGAATAACTGGGACCGCGAGGTATGGCTAGTGTGGGTTTGTGTTGACTGGTGGACTGAGAGTCAGGCCGTAATTATTCCCTCCTAGTCAGGCCATTGTCATTCGCGGTTTGTATGGGTCGCTAGAGCGGTAAATTCTTTGTTAAAATGACTAGACTTGCACCTGCTCTCATCGTCTACGAAGAAAACTTTGTCTGAGAAAGACAGAGTAGTCGCGGCTTAGCGGAAGTGGAGGTAGACCTAGAGGGGTGGGGAGCGGAGGAGAGGGCTATATAAAGACAAAACACATTTCCCTTCGCTGGGATTTCCGCAGCATTCTCGAGTGTATGTGTGGCAGCCTGAATTTGGTACTACTGCGCGTATTCA